ATTTTACAATTCCACACTCAAAAAATAAATCACATTTCCGATGGAAAATAACCATTAGAATTTCACATAACTTTCATGTGATCTCATAATTGGGAATCGCACCACGAAATTACATGAACCTTATGTGTCCAATGAAGCTTATGTGATTTATCACATAGATTTCATGCGATCATGTGAATGTTATGTGAATTTCAGATAAAAATTATTAAATTTGTTATTAGAAAAATATCATGTGCGTTCCCAATGGAAACTACATGAAAACTTTTTTCAGTGCACTTAACCTCCTTCGGCTGTGATTTCAGCTCCGTCACGAATCTCCCCGCCCCAAATCGATGTACCGACGTCTTCAACGTTCCCTTCACTTCCTCTTTCGGGGTCTCGCTCTCCCCATTAACCCACTCACTTATCACATTCCGAATCGGCATTATCGATAGTAGCAGTCCCTTCATGGTCATCTTTTCAATTAGCTTCCGGAATAGGGTTGGCAATACTGGAAGCTTATCTCATAAACCGGCTTTCCGGTATTGAAAAATCTAATACCGGTAAAACCGGTATTAGGAGGAACTATAAAAAAAAAAACTGCATAATTATAAGAAAATGTGTTTATTGGTAAATCTAGATAAACATTTCAAAAGGTCCTAACTGCATTGATCGATTCTCTTCATCGAATTTCTCTTTCATTCATAATTCAGCTGCAAAACCTTTCACTTTTGTATTTGACGTTTTGCATGCTAGATAAGAACCTCCTTCATGAAACTATGTGGTAAAATTAGCGCGAAATCTGTTTGCTAGGCAGTGATTACCCGCATAAGCGCGAACCATAAATTGACCTTACCGATAATGGTTATAAATTGTTTATAATCCCTGCTAAACTTCAACTGAAATGGTTATGGAACTTTACATGAACGTTTAATGATAAAGTTTTAACCTTAAGTATTATAGTTTTTTGGAAGTGGACCTTACAAATAATGGGTTGTTAAGAACCATTACCATTCAAAATTCTTGTTTTCTCCATACATTTTCGGAAAGAAAACTATACTAAAACCTTTTAACTTATGGTTTGAGAACATTAATGGTAATGGTTATGGTAACCAGTAAGGTCCATGAATGGTTTTGTAACATCGATCAACTTTATGTGGAATATATCGCGAATTGGTTGCCTGTAAATTACTGATTACCAATTCACGATATATTTCACGTAAAGTTGAGTGATAATACAAAACCATTAATGGACCTTACTGACTACCATAACCATAACCATTAATGTTCTCAAACCATAAGTAAAAACGTTCTAATATAGTTCTCTTTCCAAAAATGTATGGAGAAAACAAGAATTTGGAATGGTAATGGTTCTTAACAACCCATTATTTGTAAGGTCCGCTTCCAAAAAACCATAACACATAAGGTTAAAACTTTATCACACAAACGTTCATGTAAAGTTCCATAACCATTTCAGTTGAAGTTTAGCAGGGATTATAAACAATTTATAACCATTATCGGTAACCATGTGATGGTTCGCGTTTATGCGGGTATTAAAAGAGAAAATCGATGAAGAGAATCGCTCAAAACAGATAGGACCATTTGAAATGTTCATCGAGAAATGGTCAGTAAGAAATGCGCTCATCAAAACTAGGCTTGTTCGTTAAAGTAAAATTTGAGAATTCAAAAAGTGTTTATCGTATTATCTTCCAAACGAGAACGGATCTTACTGACGAAGTAAGTTGGACGTACAATACAAAGGGCATCGTTTATCATTTTCACATATTTGCCTTCCCTAATAAAAAATAACCATAAACGAACGATAACCCAAATCATTGAACTATTCCACAAATGGTTTGGATGATACCCAGAACACGTCGTTAAGCAAATTAACCATACAATTGTTATTAGGGTTTCAAACTCTTGTTTATTATTTTTTTTCAAACTGTTTGCTGACGTTGACGCTGAGCTAGTTCTGGAAGCTGCAAACTTTGACTGCTGCAACCGTCTTTCAATTTTTTCCCTCACGGTCAAACCATCGTTCTCTACATCAGCTGTATCATCCAGTCGATTCAGCTCCTCTCTTCGCTCGGCTTATGCATGTTTTCCTTTGTCTTCCAAATCAATCAAACGACGAAGAATTTCAAGCGAATGCTTTATAAAAAGTAGACCGTCGATGAAAACTCCAAAGAAGAGAGGTTCTAGTATAAGAGCTGTGGGAGGGGGGGGGGACGTGCTGTCAAATCAGCCTACTGATCATCTTGTATGAAACTGTTTCCAAACGTAAACAAACGCTGTAGGTTTTTTATGGCTTGTTTACGTTTGGAACCAGTTATGCGAGGTAGGCGACGATTGTTCGTATTTGACAGCCACCTCCCCCCCTTGTATAAGAGAGGAGCAAATTCAAAACAAACTGCCTTGGCAACCTATGCCTAGGTGAATTCTAGCAACACTGCCCATGCAATCAAGATAGGCGCTGCTCGATTGGCTCTGGCTTTGACAGTTCGTTTGACTCAAAACCAGCCAGTCCACTCCTCTCTTATGCTAAACCCTCTCTACTCCAAAGTCATTTGTCATTGTATGTAAATCATATTTTTCTTTTGTTTTGTTGTTTTTAATATTACAATCATTCATTTATTTATATTTCAGTCACTATCGTGAACATGTAAAAACCAATGAAATATGCTGGAAAAATCCAACAAAAATACCGAAAATACCGGTTTTTTAATCCTACAAAAGCGATATTTCGGTATGGTAAAATAGCACGGTAATACCGGTAAAATCCTTTTTCTATAAAACTGGTTAATCAACCCTATTCTGGAAAGATGCTTCCCCCTTCCCAACTTCGATCAAACTGTTCTGAAACACTAAAGCCTTCCGCACCAGATCCTTGAACAGTTCGATCGTCTTGAGTGGATCTCGAATTCTTCGGCACCATCAATCGCAGATTACAGTTGTACTTGGCAATGGTCATCGCTTTGATGATCTCACGCATCCCGCATACCGCGTTGACTTTTGACCCGTTAGAAGGTTTTGAAAATATGTGCGCTGTGATGAATCCATGTCAGAACTTCGCCGGATGTTCACGGTTGAAGTTATGAAACCAAACATTGGATTGTGTCAACAACAATGATTAACATTTTGACCAGTGCTGCAAAATCTCGACAGTACACGGTGATATTGACAATTCTGCTTTGGTCACTCATTTTAGCTAACAGTCATAGTCAAGGCAAACCATGTCAATTGTCAATGACAATGGTGTCAGTGACGAACATGTGCAGATTTGTTAATTAGCTAAATTTGTAACAAAATTAAATGACTTGAGCAAAACAATTACATGGATCCATTTTAGTGAACAAGTATCTACGTCCTGAGCTACTTGGATAACAATAATGTGACACAGAATGTACTAAATTACACTTTTTGTTACCAGGTGAATCTTTGTCATTGACGAAAAAATGAATGAGATTTTGACAAAGGTTTTTTTGAGGATCAAGTCTGTCAGTGACTATGTGACGAACAATTTTGTCAATATCGCGCGAAAGTCTGTCAATGACAATGACAAATCTCAGCACTGATTTTGACACATCCACAGAGCAGGCGCAGATATAGTACAGTGTTGCCAGTAACTTTAAATATCATGAAAATTTCTAACCATGGGTGCCAATGAAAGTGCCCATCTGTATTTTTAGCACACTGTGCGTACCTCAATATCAACTAACTGTGACATTTGACTTCCATCGTCGATATCTCACAAATTACAATTTAATTATTCCAATTGTCATGAACAATACATGGAGGATTGTCTCATATCATCGATGGTGTTATTACATTGCTTGATTTAATGACTGTTAGCTAGATATCAGCGATGGAAGTCAAAAGTGACAGTTATAGTACGTTCAGACTACAGAGTTATAACAACAATCAATATGACACTAACGATTTTAAATTGGCTCACTACTTGACTAGCCTATTGGTCCCAAGCAAACGATTAACGTATCCCATTCTAGTCGAAATTCTAGTACTACGCAATGTTTGTTTTGATTCGCTATGAAAGTTTGACAGATAAAATGAGGGGTTATTGGTTTTTCCTATGTTTCGAGGGGTGAATCGATTAGTTTGGGACCGAAGAGAGTACCAGAGCTGAGCCAAAAAGTTGAGCACGTTATTTCGGGACTTTCTAGTCTTAGAGTTACCTCTATGGTTATAACATGTTTAGCGCTATCTTGATGGTGGATTCTGTGTTGCAATTATTTGACAACCGTTATAACTCTCCACCCTAATAAACAAATACCATAAACGAACAATAACCCTAACCCTAATAGTCGAACCTTTCCTCAAATGGTTTGGATGGTACCCCAAACACGTCGTTAAGCAAAATAACCATAACAAATTTATTAGGGCAGTCTGGCCAGCGTTTTACGTTACATCAAGGTATACCTGAATACATTTCCACAACCTAAACCCGATCCTTAACCCCTTTTCGAACCTTCCCCTTGGCATACAACAGAATCACATTCGACACCTCGAAGTTGTTCAGCTCGAGGAAATCGATAATTATCGTGTAGCCGTCCTCCACTTGCAGCCGATTGAACAGTTCCACTTCCACATCGCAGTTGTTATCGTTGTTATACTGTTCCATAGTCAACGCCACGGATAAGGATCCACATCCAGCTACAATCAATATTCTTGGAACAGATTTGGTTTGGTTTGCTTATTCTGGTTAAATTTCCGTGCTTCAGCAGTGTTTTTTTACGCTTCGTTTTCTTGCACAAAAGCCATTAAATCTTCAGGGTTGCCAAACTCATGGGATACTTGATTGACACGCTTCGGCACAGCGAAAACAATTGGCACAGATTGAGGTGTGCAGAGTTGATTCCCCTTTGTTATCAATCTATGTTTGTCAGCTCAGCAATTTCTTAAAGGGTTAGTGAATGCTTAGGGTATCGAAACAATTCAATTGGCTTGAAATGGTAGGTTCCGTTTACACAAACAAATACGTAAAACGCAAGCAGACTCACCTTAACCGTCCGCAGCACTTCCTTGAGCGGATGATGGCCACGAATCCTTTCCGGTACTTTTTGTTGAAAAACGCATACAGGATCGGGTTGATACACGAGTTGGACGCCCCCAGCCATTGGGCGATCGGGGTTGCAATCTGCAGCAATTCTTCCTCGTTGCTCTCCAGCGCGCCGCCCAGCTTAATCCGGGCAAAGATCACGTACAGCGGTAACCAGGATAGTACAAATAGAATAACAACTACAACAAGCATCTTAACAACTTTGATCTTGGACTTTTGCTGCATCCGATCCATCTGGGCGTCCTTCGAGTCGCCGGGGATGGATCGCCTCCAGACCTGATCAGATGAGAAGCGGGTATACATTATCATATTGGTATGTTTGTGGACAGCAGTGTGCCGGGCTTACCTTGATCCAGATCAGTATATAACAAATGGTGATGAGCACCATTGGCAGCAGGTAGCACGCCACCAGGTTGGCAAGTAGAAAGTACAGAGCACCATCAGTACCCGGAGGCCAAACTTCCACACACAGTTGGACTTCGGGTGCTTCGGGGAATATCGGAACCAGTTCAAAGAACAGCGCCCACGGTATGGTCGAGCTAAGAGCGATGATCCAGATGCACACGATCATAAATCGTGCCCGACGTTTGGTAATCTGCAGCTTCAATGGCCACCAGATAGCGAGAAATCTGTGGAAGGAAAATAAAATTTAAACTTGATTAAATATCTCAAATAGATCGTAGTCATCTTTGACTGCTCAAATTTATTTTGTTTATGTTTGTATCATTTTCACTCGAAAATCATGACATTTTGTTCAAATTGTTACAAGCAAATTTCTAGTGATGGAAATCCGTTAGTCCCTTCCCCGGAACCGTTCTACAGCCGGTAGATTCCTGCCATCATCCTTCATTACTTAAATAATTGAATCTTTTCCCAATCAGTATGGCTGAAGATCGTGAGATGTCTCGCTTCCTGTATCGCCTAACGCAGGAAATTGTAACATCCAGGGATTACTCCGATGTGAACATCAGCAGGATCTGCAGAAAATTCTATCAGCGTTCTACCTACCCGGATAAAGCACGACTTGCCCGGACAATCAACGATCTCAAACATAAACTGGAAATACAGCACAATGACTCGGAAAACGGATCTTTGGATGCATTCAACGATGGGAAAGACTGTCATTGTAGCTGCAATAAGAAGCCAAAGCGGCACCTGCAAATGGGTAAGGCTAATCCGTTGGACAAATCCATCAGTGCTCAATCGTTTGGTAAGCTACCGGGAATGCTGGTGAACAGTGCTACTCGGATGCATGGAACAACCAACACCCAAACTATCATAGAGGATGCTAATGATCCTTTGAAAAGGTGTCTTGACAAAAAAGATTCGAATTCAACCGATTCCATTAGTACAATAACTTCCTACAACTTTTCGTCTTCGTTATACCCACCGTTCAACGAATCACCTATTTTCAATGTTCAACATTCGTTGGATGATGTCCGTACGTTGGTTGAGGAGCAGATCCTGCCAAAACTGGGCGGTGATCCCAAGGAAGACTTGAATGATGGTTGTTGCGAGCAGAACAAGAATTCCACGCAGAGCAACTCAGTCGATATGGTCATGCGGGTGGCAGCCTCGGATAGAGTATTTGCGGGGCAGGGTGAACGAAAGTGTCCTCTGCACCGGTGTGAGGAGTTTGGTCACAGTTCGACCTGTGGCATGGGTGACGATGGCGTTTCTGGTGGCTGTGGAAAAGGATGCGCAAGTGATTTTACCTTGCCTAAAACCAAGGCCAAGGCCAAGGGAACTGAAACACCACCGACTACTTGCTGCGGTAAGCGGAAGAAACCTAAGACTGCTAAAAAGGCAAATGGTAGAAAAATGAAGAATATTCAATAGAAAGATGTTCAGCAGGATCGATGTGGTAGGAAATAAATTGTAGTAATTATTTATCAAAGAATGGTTGTTGTATATGTAACAGATGCCCATATTAGGTCAGCTAGTCAGCTAGCCGCTAGTGACAGTATAACATGCCATGTCGCAGCACGCTTATGTAAAGGCAATGCATTTGGGTTTGGATGTGGTACTAGCGGGATAGGCTGCAAGTCAGTCTTATTTTATTTTGACACATATTATTATAGTTTGATTTATTTTTGAAAGGGAAATATACTCTTCGAAACTAATCCATAGAAGGTTTTTGTTTATCTATTGGACGAATTTCTGGCGAGTTGGGCGGATTTTCCTCCTTCGGCAAAAACAACATCGTTGGCTTCGTACCACTCCATCACCGGTTTCGCGTGATGAAGTGGTACGAAGCCAGGACAGTGGGACCTGAGGAAGGACAGCTGGCGCTTCTGGAGGCATTCTTCTTTATATATTTGGCCGTTGATGGTGCCGGTCGTTATGTACGGCTTGCTGAATTTGCCGCACCCACAGATTGCCTGCAACTCTAATTACTTTTTGGCAAATTTGTCAAACTTCTTCTTCCGGAACTTCTCCGGAACATCCAGGCGGGACTTTCCGATGAAAAACTCCAGGCCGGGGGTCTGCATCGCGTCCGCTTTAATATACGTCTCGTCGTCCATTACGATACATTTCGGCTGCACCAACCACTCGTGGTACAGCTTCCTGGCGCGGGATTTGGCCACCGTATTCTAATTATCGGTTCGGTTAGGTTGCCTTCAAGATATGAAGTCCGGCCTGCTTTATTGTCTGCTGGACGAATCAGACGGAAGAATTGACCTTCTTGGCTACGTCCCGAATCGAAAGGTTCGGATTGCGCTTGAAGTCATCTCTCACCTTCCTTGCGTTCACGGGGTCGGTTGTCTTCGCTTTTCTTCCAGTGCCAGCTCGTTGCTGAGTCGTCTGGGTCTCCTTGAACGATTTTACCACACGGGACATGGTTGAACTGTTTCGCGATCCACCTGTGGGATTGGCCTGGATTTTCCGCGACCTCTTCCATAATTTCTTGTCGAAGCACTTCTTGCTTGGAAGCCATCTCGAGAACCACTTGACAGATTGTGACGAGATTTTTAACATGTAAACATTACATTCTAAACTAGTTTTACTCAAAATTTAATAAATTTTTACCCATGCAATAAAAGTTAATACACAAAAGAAAGTTTTGCATTTTTTCGAGTACAATCTTTAAGAGAATTTCATAATTCCCAGAATAATGATGAAAATTCCAGATTTTTCCAGAAAAACTCAAATTCTCTGAGGATTCCTAGATTTCTAGATTTTACAGGTAGTAGATACCTCGAATTCCTACAGTAGTTTTTCTTCTTTTTCTTAGAGGTAACTCTAATACCCCGTTCACATTACAGCCTATATCACGTAATATAGGCTGTCTTGCAATGAGCACTCATACATAGGATTTCCAGTGAAAACTAGATGTATGAGTGCTCATTGCAAGACACCGTATATCACGTGATATACGCTGTAATGTGAACGGGGTATAAGACTAGAAGGTCCTGATGAAACGTTCTCAACTTTTTGGCTCAGCTCTCAGGTCCCAAGCTAATCGATGCACCTCTCGAAACATAGGAAAATCCACGAACGCCTCATTTTATCTGTCAAACTTTCATAGCGAATGAAAACAAATATAGTGTAGTACTAGAATGTCGACTAGAATGGGGTACGTTAATCGATTTGCCTGGGACCAAAAGGCTAGTCAAGTAGTGAGCCAATTTTAAATCGTTAGTTTTTTTTTATATCTTTATTAAGGAGACTTTCAGCCCTGGGCTGGTTCGTCTCCGTATAAAAATCGTTAGTTTCCAACCGGTGCTACTACTGGATTGTACCACATGGCAAAACTAAATGTACTAGAATGTTTTGGTTCTATCTCTTTCACTCTACTCAAAACTGAAATGCATAAAAAAAATGACAAAATGATACACTTTTTGCACACATCAAAGATCATTGCACACAACATCAACTTTGTTCAAATCAAAACAAAAATACTAGTTCTATCTGATTGATTGTAGATGATGCGCCAATTCCAAGGGGTTGCTAAGCCAGCATTTTTTGTTGTTTGCTCACACACTTATAGCACAAACGAAGCTACAGACGACTAACTAACGAAGAAATCAATTGAAATAATGTAGTTCGCTGTAATAGAATTTTCTTAGAAGCTTGTGCCATCAGCCACCAGACTCGAGCTAACGGAAAACAAACACATGCGTTGTTAGCGACACCTGTAAAATGTGCAATACAGTCGCCAAGTTCGTATGTGCTGTTCAAGTTTCTTATGGGCCATAAATTTATAGACCAGTTAAGAGGGTACTGCCAAATCCCATAGTGGAAAAATTTGATGTCAGTCCCGTGGCCAATTCGTAATATTCGTTTGCCAGCCCATTTTGGATGACGCAGGAACTAGTAGAGGTGTGCAATTTTTCTTGTGTTCATAGTTGTTATAAGTTGTGTGTATTAGGGTTTTGTCTTGGCTTTTGTAATGCCTTCAAAGGCAGACCAGATACCCAGTTTGTTGTGATGTGAAACGCAACGGTCTATCAGCGGCCGGAAATAGTTGAAACCGGTGGGGAACATATTCTGTAGTTTGTTTTGTGTGAGTTGCATTGTTATAGTTACGGGTAGTATTGAGGTCTGCTTAACTGCCTCATTGTTTATTTATTTTATTTATTTAATTAATTTACAAAGATTGACCTGGTAACAAAATGTGTAAGTTCGTGCATTCTGTGTCACTTTATTATAATCCAATCAGTTCAGATCTTCACTTCTTCTTCGCATTTCAAGCTTATTGCATATCGCATATTAGCTTATTGCGTGCTCTCAACTTAGTGTTCTAGATGCACTTCCACAGTTATTAATTAGAGCTTTTCGATGCCTGTACCATTTTTGCATTGGTATAATTGTGTGGCAAGTCCAATCATACTTCTATGCCCAGGGAAGTCGAGAAATTTTCCAGCCCAAAAAATTCCTAGACCGGACCGGGAATTGAACCCAGCCACCTCCAGCATGGTCTTGCTTTGTAGCTGCGCCTTTACCGACTGAGCTAAGGGAGGCCCCAATCAGTTCAGATGCTTCTTCACTTTAACGGCTACATGTAATTGTTTTGCTCAAATCTCTTAATTTCGTGACAAATTTAGTTAATAAAAATATCTACATATGTTCGTCACTGACAGCATTGTCATTGCCAATTGACATGGTTTGCCTTGACAATGACTGTTAGCTCAAATGAGTGACCAAAGCAAAATTGTCAATATCACCGTGTATTGTCGAGATTTTGCAGCACTGCTCTTGAGCCCTCGCTAGACCCTACATTTCGGATTAAAATCTAGAAGTGATCCGAGAAGTGAACGCTGGTCTGAGTTCCTCTGGTATAATCAATTAGAGAAAGTTCCTGAGATATATAGTCAAACAGCACGTAATGTTGTGAACAACTTCAAGGACAAATGTCCAGCAGTGCTCACATTTTTAAATGAACAGATTGTGTCGATGGTGAGCCGATGGATGTGTCCAAGCTGTGCCGAAATTACTTTCGGCTCACTGTGCTGAGTGACTTACTCCTCGTTCGGCTCAATAATTGCTTGTTATTTCTCATTTGCAGATATTTTTGATTGCTTGCTCATGATAGGTCCAGGCATAAATTAAAGGTACGGAACATATCCCCGAAACACCAGGAACATGTTCTGATGTAGTCCATGGGCCCTGGGCAGTGATGCAAAATATCATGACACTCACTCGACACTCTTCAACACATCAACCGAGTATAGCTGAAAAAACGTTTTGTCACGCAATGAGAGGTAGAGCCATGTCAAACAACAATGACAAGGAATGGTTGCAGCTCGCATGCAAAACGTAATACTAGGTGATGATGATGTAAAGCACAACGAAAACAGTGAAGACTTCTGCAGTACGATGATGAGAAAAAGCGAAACGACAGGAGAAAATGAAAACAATGCCTATGCATTCCAAGTTCGTCTTGGTACGCGCGACTGTGTGAGTTACAAACAAAGCTGGCAAAATTAAACGGAAGCTGTTGGGATAACTCACCAACACACTCACATAAGCAACCAAAGCAGCAACTGCTTCAAAACGAGGGCAGATGAGTGTCGTGATGGTCGGGAATGACCAGATCGGTGATGGATCACCACCGAAGACGACAATCACCAGTTGCTTTTTGCTTTTTTCGTCAACTTGATGGATGGTCATGGAGAGTGCTTCGACAAGAACACACACTTAGAAATAACTACTTTTACACGAGACGTAATCCATATTGGACGTAAATCATAGAATGTAAACAAACATGTCATGTAAAATTAAGTGTTCTCAAACCGAAACATCAGCTAGTCGACGAAGAGAACGTTTGATTGAATTGATTTTCACGTTTCTTTCAACTGATTCTTATGTCAAAAGGCCCGCTTACATGTGTCGGTCTCAGGGAACCGAAATTTACATGACTTTTTAGTAGTGTGCATTGATAGAAATGTACCAAGCGCTACTACCATCATCTGTTTGACGATTGTGATTGTGATAGGTCACAACTCTGGTCCTGGGTACTCAATATGATCACCAGTTTTAATGCCTTTAAAGTTCCTTTGATTTTAACATCAACATCAAGAAATGCAGAAGCTCTACCTTTGATATATCTAGTTATAGAATCAAAATAACTCTACATACATCATGGACCTAATGAGGCATCGACTTGTAGAAATATCAACTTATGGAGAGTACGATACATGAAAAAATAAGGGGTCCGCAGAATGCATCGAGCTATAGATTTTTTTTTCCTTGATGTGTTTTCCGTCGATCTTGCTTTCCGTGCTGGGTACAGATTCAGATTGTAGATTCATTAATGACATCCGCCGGATACGCCCTGGAACTGTCTATAAAGTTTCTTCCCTGAATCATTCCTAGGTGTATCATCGAATATCACT